AATTGATGCTTTTGAACTGTGGTGTTGGAGAAGACTCTTGAGAGTCCCTTGGACTGCAAGGAGATCCAACCAGTTCATCCTAAAGGAGATCAGTCCTGGGTGTTCATTGGAAGGACTGATGCAGAAGCTGAAACTCCAATACTTTGGCCAGCTGATGCAAAGAGCTGACTCATTTGAAATGACCCTGATGCTGGGAAAGATTGAAGGCAAGAGGAGAAGGGGACGACAGAGGATGAGATGGTTGATTGGCATCACCGACTCAATGGATATGAGTTTGAGTAATCTCTGGGAGTTGGTGATGGACAGGGAGGCCTGGCATGCTGCAGTCCACGGGATCACAAAGAGTCGGACATGACAGTGACAGAACTGAACAAAGATATAGTAATTAAACCAGTTATTACTGTCACAAAAACTAAAAGCTTCTGCACAATAAAATAAAATAATCCAACACAGCAGGATAGAGCCCTATTCATTGAAAGAGATATGGTGGTCTACAATAGTAAGGTGGAAATTGGATAGCTAGGGGAGAGATTTAAAAGCAAGGTAGCTAGATAGCAAGATAGAGTTACTGGGTAGCCGTTGAAACTTAGATTTAATCCACAGATGCTGGAACAATATGTCTCTTAGGTCCCCGTATAAAAAGACAGCATGTTGTTAAAACCTACTAGTAATACTGATTATCTATAGAAAACCACTAAATCAAACAAGGCATACACAAATTCATTATCCTTTAAACTGCAATTATGAAAAAAAAAAAAGTAAGAATTTGGTTTCAAATTTTTTAGGAGGTGACCATATTCTGATAATATAAACTTACATATAGAATATTGCTCTTTGAAAATATTAGTCTCACAAATGAGCATAAATTACTTGAAGAGTATTTGGTTCTATATTCAAACAATGTCTTATTTGTTAGAAATTTACCACTTTGCCTTAAATAACTTCAGAAAGGTTTGAAAGTGTTATTCAAAGGTAATGGGTTGATTGCTACAGATTAGTTTTATTTAGAAAAACAAGAACTTTTATTATCATGGCTTGAGTGAATTATTTTCTCAAGTTGATATATCATCTTTATATACCCTAAATGTCACCAGAGATTCATCTGTTAACAACATATGCTACAATATACTTTATATTTTGTACAGATGATGGGAAATACTGAACATATTTTGTTTAGCAGATTTACTGCAAGTGTTTTCAAAAACAGTCCCTTTGTCACAAGTTTCTAATACAACATTACAGATTTTGAATACAGTTATGGAAATATGAGGACTTCCCCAGTGGCTCATCAGTAAAAAAATCTACCAGCAATGCAGAAGACTGGAGTTTGATCCCTGGGCAGATAGGATCACCTGGAGAAGAGCATGGCAACCCACTCCAGTATTCCTGCCTGGAGCATCCCATGGACAGAGGAGCCTGGTGGGGGGAGGCTATGATCCATCTGGTTGCAAAGAGTTGGACACAACTGTAGCAACTGTGCAGGCACACATGCATGGAAATAAAATGTATATCAACGCTACACTCCACCCCAGCTGTATGCAAAGTTGGCACTTCTGGTTCAGTAAGACTTCACTGGTTTTTGTTTATGGAAGAATCACATTCCCTTTGGAAGACCCAGGTGCTAAATGTTTATATATATGAAACTACTATAACAAAACATCAAATACACAAATGTGTAAAATTATTTTGATATGTCACCATACCAGGTAATTCATTTTTAAGTAGAAAGCAATCATTTCTATAATTCCCATCATCATATATAAATACATGGATAAACACTCACATATAAAATGTATATCATATATTCATTTATCTCACAAAGAATTTTGAAATTATAGGGTGGCATATACTCTTCTAAATGTATATACACATAATTATACATATATAAATACAGCTGTATTCACTGACAATGAAACAGGTAAATCGTGAGAAAGTACTATTCTTTTTCACTATTTAAAACTGATACTATCCAAGTTTGGTCTTCTCAATTTACAAACAATCACCAAGGGCTTCCTTTATAGCTCAGTTGGTAAAGAATTCACCTGCAATGCAGGAGACCCCAGTTGGATTCCTGGGTCAGGAAGATTCGCTGGAGATGGGAAAAGCTAACCCACTCCAGTATTCTAGCCTGGAGAATTCCAGGGACTATACAGTCCAAGGGGTTGCTAAGAGTCGAACACGAAACGACTTTCACTTCACTCACACCAAGATATACAGGGTCTTCTTAATAATCACCTTTCCCTTCTGTAGTATTCTTTCTCACTGCTCCAACTAACCTTCTCTTGTNGGAAAAAAAAAAAAAAAGAAGTCTCCTGGTCTCCCGTAGTCAGAGAACCTTGTCTGCAGACCTCAATTTCTCTCTCACAACCTGCCAAAATTTCTCCCGTTCAGTTCGTACTGTCATCATCGAAGTTCAGGTTAATACTTTAATTTTGGAACAGCAATAGATTACTTGATGGTTTTCCCTACCTTTCCACTATTTAGCATGTTTCTAAAGTATCAGAACCTAAACTGGAAGAGGATTTCAAAGTATCAGCTCCTAAACCGGAAGTGGTGAGATGGCGCGGCAGAGACGTCAGGATGCTTTTCCAGTCCTGCAGTGTTTAGAAGATGCTTGCTTGGTGAGGTTATTAGAAAAAAAAAAAACAAAACGTAACAACAAGGTCCTGAGGTGCCCCCGGGCAGTCAAGAAAGCTGCCTGCAAATCACCTGTGTCGTCACAATGATCAAACAATGCCCCCTTGGGTACCTCGGTTAGCGAGGAGGAACAGAGGAACAGGGCTCTGCCCTGTACAGAGCCTAACCAGCCGATGCATCCAAACACGAACATCCCCACGCTACTGAACCCCAGGACTGACGCAGTGGAAACTCTGCAGAAGACAAATTAAGTTGATCTGTTTCAGTAACGCTCGTTGGAAAAAATCAGGGAAGAAGAACCTAATGCCTCTTTCAGAACGATTTTATGCATTCATTTTTCAAGTTGTAGAATTAGCTGCAGTTTAATTTTTATGCTGCATTTCATGAGAAAGTGACACTGGGAAGAGCCGAGGATGCAGAAGGCCTGGGCAGTTCTTTTGGGTCAAAACTACAGTTTCTATATCCATCCTGCTGGACTTCTACTTCCCACTCCTGAGCTAAAATAACCAAAGTTCGTCCTATTTTGTGATGAGTGGTCATCGTCACTAAGTCACGGCAGACTTTTTGCAACCCCTGTTCTTGTAAGAGTAGTTTTATATTGAATTCGAAAAAAAAAATTCTTCTCTGTAGGAAATAACGAAATAATGGGGGTCCACTACAGTGGTGGCTCCAGTGCTTCAGGCATTGTCTCGTTTTGCTGCTAGCTGTGCAAGCTGAGGCCGTGAACAATCACCTAGACTTCAATGCGGAGGCAAAGGGCCAGACAAGAATACATCACAGGATAGCATCTCCTTTCTGGACTGTATGGAAAGCAGAAGCCTGACATCTTTTGCTTGAGGACATTGAAATTCATACAGTTTGTGATTTTGTCCAAAGTCACCTAACTGGAAGAAACATATTGCAAAGTTGCACAGTGTAATTTGGATTGCTTGAAACTAGAGCTTCAGCAATTGCTACAATAACTGGAGGAGGAAATATTTTGAAACCTTACTAGCTTTATCCAGAGAGTTTCAGTATGGCAACCCAAGGTATCAGGCTGCCAACCCCAGTGTCCTCCCTCTGACTTTTAATGAGGTTAAACTGCTTTCTCATAATGTTTCACTTGTATACAATTCACATCTTTTTAAAATGCAAAGCAAGTGATCACAAGTCTATGGCTCAACTAATTTTGAAGTCCTACAAGGCTGACCATCTCATCTCTATAGTTTGGATTCATCAGAGTGTGAGTGGTTGTGGGCTATACCACCTTCTCTTACACACAACCCTTAAACTACTGTAACTTACTTTGAACACCAGTGGAATAGTTGCCGATTCTTTTGGACAGTTCACGAAAAAGACCCAAGGAATTAATTTCCCTGGAGGATGGATGGGTGAAAAGGAAGGATCAAGTAAAACTTAACGATAATAACCCTTTCTGGATTTGGGTTCAAAATCTTTGAAGAACTACCATACACGTATTAGTGGAATGGAGAACAGTTATTAAAATAGGACAATACCTTTTTTAGAAAAAAAATATTCATACATTTATTGGAACTTTCCATCCAACAAGTCAGATGCTCCTGTGTCTTCAAGTTTTGTCATAGGCTTAAAATCACCTACCTCTGAAAAATTTCAGAGTCAGAAGATTTTTGAAAGTCCTGCTTGAATCATGGCAAGATGATTTGATTTTACTAGGACTTGGTTGAGACAAGACCCAAGCTACTGAAAGTCATATTGTGTGCCGATAGGAGAATCCCAGGGGAGCTATACAATTTCCAGACACAAAAGTGTAACTGGCCCTGGGGAAGATGAAGATGGCTCCTGGGGAAATAGAGCAGACTTTCATGTAAGGTCTGTTAGATTCTCTTTTAGAACTCATCATTGAATGTCATCAGTCTTGCATTAGAGTCACATAGAAGTGAAAACCAATCTGTTAGTTTTGGAATTCTTGCTCCTAATTAAAAAAAATTAGGAATTGAACTATTTAGAAGTACATAAGACCAAGAAGAATATTGTTTGGTGCAACACAGCTTATTTTGTTTCTCAAAGGCCTTACTATAAATTGCTGTGTATGTGGATGTACTTTTGTACGTAATTCCTTTTTCTCCTGAAACTCGGTGTACTCTAAGCATTAGCTTAAGAAAAGTACCAATCTCCACATTTCTTTCTCTTTAATCTTTATGGATTTGCTCTTTTCTCTTACCAGTGCTTACATTTTTGGAATTTAATTTTACATCACTATGATGGTACTTTTTTAAATTAAGATTTCTCTGAATCTCATTTTCAGTCAAAAACTGTTCATCACTTTTTAAAACTCTTACCATTTTATCTATATGTCTCTTAATCAACTTAATAGTTTCTGCTTCTTCATATTGTATTTGTAAGTCTTATTTCCTGTTGGATTCTGAACTTCTTATATGTAAAACATTGTTTTGAACTTCTATCATAGTACTTGATTACTTAGTGGAGTTTCTTTTTTTTTTTTTTTTATGATTGTAAACAATCTTCCCTGGACTTCCCTAGTGGTCCAGTAGCAGTTAAGACTTCGACATCCAAAGCAGGTGATGTGGGTTCAATTCCTTGTCAGGGAGCTAAAATCCCACATGCCTCACAGTCAAAAATCCAAAAGGTAAAACAGAAGCAATATTGTAACAAATTAAATGAAGACTTAAAAAATGGTAGGTGGCTCAGACAGTAAAGAATCTGCCTGCAGTGCAGGAGATCTGGTTTCGATCCCTGGATCAGGAAAATCCCCTGGAGAAGGGGATCTTCTCCACTCCAGTATTCTTGCCTTGAGAATTCCATGAACAGAGGAGCCTGGTGGGCTACAGTCCATGAGGTTGCCAAGAATCAGACATGACTGAGTAACTAACACATGTATACACATCACAAAAGTCTTAAAGAGAAAAAAAGCAAACAGCTTCTACTTTTTGTTGTGTGTGTGCATTTTTGCTTATGGAAGAAACTAACAACATGTGAATATTTACATTTCTTTCTCATAGCACAGCACTCAAAAAAGTTTGTCTAAGAGCTTCACTGCTATGACCCAGACCTACAGTGTAATCTCTGGGCTCTTTGTTTGCAGAAATGCAAATAAGCACACTAAATTTAACTTTGTCCATTATCAAAGAACCAGACTCTTTAATGCTTGTTTTTATAATTTATTTGAGAAGTGAAGATAATGACATTTGCTAGTTTTATTATTTAATGGATTAAAATATTGTATATGCAAGATAAATAAAAGTTTTGGGGGACATTTAATGTAGCAGAAAAAAATTAATCTTGACACTGTGAACATTTAGAAGACCAATAGCAAAATAAATGACTTGTGCTCGGGAACCTCCAACAGATGTATTCTGATCTGTTGCTTATCAGAACTCAGATATGGTACAAAGTTTTAGAAGGCATGCAATTTGGGAACTGATATTCATTGGACTTATGGGACTATCTATTTATCTTTACTACTTCACATGGGGCTTCCATGGTGGCCCAGATGATAAAGAATCTGCCTGCAATGTAGGAGACCTGGGTTCAATACCTGGGTCAGGAAGATCCCTTGGAGAAAGGAATGGCAACCCACTCTAGTACTCTTGCCTGGAGAATCCTATGGACAGAGGAGTCTGGTGGGCTGCACTCTATAGGGTCACTAAGAGTCAGACATGACTGAGTAACTAACACACACACTTCACATATCTGCATACATATGTATAGGAATAAAGATTCTTTGTGACATTATGAATATCTATTATTGACTTCAAATCATTGCTTATGGAGGCACATGAAGTGTTGGTTGTACAAACTTCCTTACATTTCTTCTTGGGAAGACACTGTGGGAGAATCTTATGTTGGTTTTCATTAACTTAAGAAAATCCTTTCATTTGGTAAAGAATTTATGCTGATACAAAATGACCAGTGAATTATTACACAGTAGAACCATTTGCTTAGAGTGCATATGTTTATGCATATTATCATGTTTCTGGAATGTTTCCTGGACTATATTACCTGGACAAACCCCCAGATGTTAATGAGTTCAGTTCTCTCCCTCCAGTTATTTAGGGTAAAATCACGCTTCCCAATGCAATCTATTCCATGGCCCATAAATAAGAAGATGGAAGAAAGCAAAACCATATTCTTACCTATCTGAATGAATGTGACTACATTAATCTCCCCCAGGGCACTATTAACCTTATAATTTATATTACATTTAATAGTCTATTTTAAAATCAACAGAATGCAAAAGTAAATTACATTCTTCACATCACTTGGGCTTGTATCCAGTACTTAACGTCCTGTCAGCAAACTTGGAAGTCTTGCAGTCAGCTGTTCCTCTGTCTGACATGTGCCATGACGCGCATCTGACTTGCTCGGCTTGCCTTGTTGAATGTGTGCCCCGTTTGATTTCCTACATTGCTTTGTGGACGGCTACACATGCTCTTAGGGCAGCATCCAATACTTTCCAGTGAACAGAAAAGAAGGTTGCTGACAGAGCAAAAGCTTCAGTACCCCACGAGAATGAAAAGGGTCTTATGAAACATGATTATCACACTTTGTACAAAAGGTTCAGATATTCTGATATTGATAGGAACAAATGTAATTGCTTCTTCCATTTAATTTTTTTTTTTTTAACAATCCCAAGTTGTACTATCCATGTGTAGCTATAGGTGGTAGCGAAGTGGAAAATTATAGAGGCTAGATGATTCTGTAGGGGTCACAATGATGACCAGCAAGATTTATTTTTTGGTTCCTTTAAGCTTCAGTGCAGATAGAAAATGTGTAACATTGATAAGCTGAAGGTTTTCTGCCACTAACTATAAAAACAGTAAAAGTTGAGATGAGGATTGGGAATAAAGAGCAGTCATTTTCAACACTAAAGCTAAGACATGTACTTAATTTACCAATGTCTCTTAAAGATTTCTAATTTCTTTCCAATGAGCTAGAAAAGGTCTGACTAGAGTAGAACCAATTAAAAACAAACACTGAACTAACTAGAGAGAATGCAGGAGTTAGTGCTAAGGAAAGGTATAGCTTTGAAAGCTGGTTTAAGTCGCAGTGAGGAAGAAAAGAATAATGATAATGATGGTGATAACTAATTCATTCAGAGGGTTGTGAGGTATATTGCATTTAATTTTCCACAAGATTCATGAGGTAGATAAGAATATATTTACAGTCATTCTTACATTTCAAATAAGAGAACTGAGGATTAGATAAAGTTCTGTATCCAGGTACACTATTGAGCAAGTATGCTGTATGGGTATGATAAATGATAGATTTTCTTTCTAAATCTGTAACTTTTAATGCTTTCCAGTCTGCTCAAAGAGTTCATCTGAGAGATGTAAAAGGTGCTTCCAAATCAAGTTAAAATTTGGATGAAGCAACATTCTTGAGGAATATTAATGATCATATTCCTGTCACTAATACATAAGATGATTATTTTTCCCCCAAAGGAATTATACAAACATTTATACACTGGTATAGTATAAAAGATTTAAAAACAAACACTGAACTAACTAGAGAGAATGCAGGAGTTAGTGCTAAGGAAAGGTATAGCTTTGAAAGCTGGTTTAAGTCGCAGTGAGGAAGAAAAGAATAATGATAATGATGGTGATAACTAATTCATTCAGAGGGTTGTGAGGTATATTGCATTTAATTTTCCACAAGATTCATGAGGTAGATAAGAATATATTTACAGTCATTCTTACATTTCAAATAAGAGAACTGAGGATTAGATAAAGTTCTGTGTCCAGGTACACTATTGAGCAAGTATGCTGTATGGGTATGATAAATGATAGATTTTCCTTCTGAATCTGTAACTTTTAATGCTTTCCAGTCTGCTCAAAGAGTTCATCTGAGAGATGTAAAAGGTGCTTCCAAATCAAGTTAAAATTTGGATAAAGCAACATTCTTGAGGAATATTAATGATCATATTCCTGTCACTAATACATAAGATGATTATTTTTCCCCCAAAGGAATTATACAAACATTTATACACTGGTATAGTATAAAAGATTATAGAATGTTGTCTCAGTAAAATTGCCACACATTTTTGTATGCCAATGTATCATGTAAACTTTAACTTGAATTTAGCAATACCAAATGCCAATTTGAGTAGATAACAATATAATATATGGTAGATTTCCAGGTGATTCAGTAGTAAAGAATTGACCTGCCAAGCAGGAGACACGAATTTGATCTCCGGGTTGGAAAGGTACCCTGGACAAGGAAATGGAAACTCATTCCAGTATTCTTGCCTGGGAAATCCCATGAACAAAGGAACCTGGTGGGCTATAGTCCATGGGGTCACAAGAGTTGGACATAACTTAATGACTAAACAACAACAATATGATATAT